TGACACTGTCTAACCATCTCATCCTTTGCCGTCCCCGTCTTCTTTGACCTTCAATCTTTCCCAGCATCAGGGTCTTCTCCAGTGAGTGCTCCCTTCTCATTTGGTGGCCAAAGTATTTGAGCTTCAGTTTCATTATCTGGCCTTCCAGGGAACAGTCAGGGTTGATTTCTTTGAGGATTGACTGATTTGTTCTTCTTGCAGTCCAAGGGACTCTCAAGAGTCTTCTCCAGCACCATAGTTCAAAAGAATCTATTCTTCGGCGCTCGGCCTTCCTTATAGTCCAGCTCTCGCAGCCATACATGACTACTGGGAATACCATTGCTTTGACCATGCGGACTTTTGTTGGCAGGGTGATGTCTCTACTTTTTATCATGCTGTTTAGGTTCGCCATCGCTTTCCTCCCAAGGAGCAGGCGTCTTTTAATTTCATGGCTGCAGTCACAGTCTGCGGTGATCTGGGATCCCAGGAACGTGAAGTCTGTCACTACTTCCACGACTTCCCCTTCTATTTGCCAAGGAGTGATGGGGCCGGATGCCATGATCTTAGTTTTTTTGATGTTGAGCTTCAAGCCCACTTTTGCGCTCTCCTCTTTTACTCTGAGCAAGAGGCTCTTTAGATCCTTTTCACTTTCAGCCATTAGAGTGGTATCATCTGCATATCTGAGGTTGTTGATCTTTTCCCCAGCAATCTTAATTCCCGCTTGTGATTCATCCAGGCCAGCATTTCGCATGATGTACTCTGCATATATATTAAATAAGCAAGGTGACAGTATACATCCTTGTCGTACTCCTTTTCCTATGCTGAACCAATCAGTTGTTCCGTATCCGGTTCTAACTGTCGCTTCTTGGCCCTTATACAGGTTTCTCAAGAGACATGTGAGGTGGTCTGGTACTCCCATCTCTTTAAGGACCTGCCATAGTTTGTTGTGATCCACACAGTCAAAGGCTTTAGCATAGTCAATGAAGCAGAAGTAGATATTTTTCTGGTACTCTCTTGCTTTCTCCATAATCCAGCGAATGTTGGCAATATGATCTCTCGTTCCTCTACCTCTTCGAAACCCAGCTTGTACTTCTGGTAGTTCTCTATCCACGTACTGTTGAAGCCTAGCTTGTAGGATCTTGAGCATGACCTTGCTAGCGTGTGATATGAGTGCAATTGTGCGATAGTTTGAACATTCCTTGGCATTGCCCTTCTTTGGGATTGGAATGTATACTGATCTTTTCCAATCCTGTGGCCACTGTTGCGTTTTCCAAATTTGCTGGCAAATGGAGTGCAGAACTTTAACAGCATCATCTTCTAAGACTTTGAATAGCTCAGCTGGAATACCATCACCTCCACTAGCTTTGTTGTTAGTAATGCTTTCTAAGGCCCATTTAACTTCACATTCCAGGATGTCTGGCTCAAGGTCAGTGATTATACCGTCGTGTTTGTCAAGGACATTGAGGTCTTTCTTGTATAGTTCTTCTGTGTATTCTTGCCATCTTTTCCTAATCTCTTCTGCTTCTGTTAGGTCCCTACCGTTTTTGTCCTTTATCATGGCCAGCTTTGCATGGAACGCTCCCTTGATTTCTCCAATTTTCTTGAAGAGATCTCTAGTCCTTCCCATTCTATTGTTTTCTTCTATTACTTTGCACTGTTCATTCAGGAAGGCCTCCTTATCTCTCCTTGCTGTTCTCTGGAAATCTGCGTTCAGTTGGGTAAATCTTTCCTTTTCGCCTTTGCCTTTCGCTTTCCTTCTTTCCTCTGCTATTTGTAAAGCCTCATCAGAAAGCCACTTTGCTTTCTTACATTTCTTTTTCTTTGGGATGGTGGTGATTGCTGCCTCCTGTACGATGTCACGAACCTCTGTCCATAGTTCTTCAGGCACTCTATCTATCAAATCCAGACCCTTGAATCTATTCTTCACCTCTACTGTATATTCATCAGGGATGCGATCTAGGTCAAACCTGAATGGCCTCGTGGTTTTCCCAATTTTCTTCAGTTTAAGTCTGAATTTTGCAATGAGTAGCTCATGATCTGAACCACAGTCAGCTCCAGGTCTTGTTTTTACTGACTGGATAGAGCTTCTCCATCTTTGACTGCAAATTATATAGTCAATCTGATTTCGGTGTTGCCCATCTGGTGATGTCCATGTGTAGAGTCGCCTCTTAGGTTGTTGGAAAAGGGTGTTCGCTATGACCAGTGTGTTCTCTTGACAAAACTCTGTTAACCTTTGCCCTGCTTCATTTTGCTTTCCAAGGCCAAACTTGTCTGTTATTCCGGTTACCTTTTGACTTCCTACTTTAGCATTCCAGTCCCCTATGATGATGAGGACATCATTTTTTGGTGTTAGTTCTAGGAGGTGTTGTAGGTCTTCATAGAACCGGTCCACTTCAGCCTCTTCTGCATCAGTGGTTGGGGCATAGACTTGGATTACTGTGATGTTGAATGGTTTGCCTTGGAATCGGACCGAAATCATTCTGTCATTTTTGAGATTGTATCCCAGTACTGACTTTTGCACTCTCTTGTTGACTATAAAGGCCACACCATTTTTTCTACGAGATTCCTGGCCACAGTAGTAGATATAATGGTCTTCTGAGTTAAATTCGCCCATTCCTGTCCACTTTAGTTCACTGATTCCTAAGATATCGATGTTCAGTCTTGCCATCTCATTTTTGACCATGTCAAGCTTACCTTGATTCATAGATCTTACATTCCAGGTTCCTATGCAGTATTGTTCTTTGCAGCATCGGACTTTCCTTTCACCATCAGACACATCCACAACTGAGCATCCTTTCGGCTTTGGCCCAGCCGCTTCACTCTTTCTGGGGTTACTTGTACTTGCCCTCTGCTCTTCCCCAGTAGCATATTGGACACCTTCTGACCTGAGGGGCTCATCTTCTGGCGTCATATCTTTTAGCCTTT